TGTGTCAACAACTCCCTGCAGGTCTGTTGCAGGCTTCCTACTAGATTAGTAAATGTCAATTTACAGGTTTAATTTATGCCATATCCCTTTCTAAAAAGGATTCTACCTTTTCTTGGTCATTTTAATATTTCTTTCCCTTTTAGATTTAATTCATTCCTGCATTCTTTGCAATTATCCATTGCAAAGAAACCCTAATATTGTTTATTTAAGAAAATAAAAATAGAAGTGTAAGATTTACATTTTGCAATATTTTACAAAATTTCTGTCATTACAATATTTCAAAATTAAATCCATGTTGTTTCTGATACTTTGATCATTTTTGTTAAGATATGTTTGTTTTTCTCCCAGTCAAAAGATGTATTTTCATGAAATAAGATAATTTGATTCTGAGGTTGAACGACGTGAGAATACCTGTCGTGGGCTCTTGTACACATGTGTCCATTTTTATGTGTGACCGCTCCCATCTCAGTCCTCCCACAGCCTCATGCCCATTCAAATGCATGTATTACTCTCGCATTTTCACACTGAGGAACCCGGGGCTCAGAGAAGCTCAGTGGCTTCCCTTGATTCACCTAACTGGTTAGACACAGATCTGGAGCCCAGAGCATGTCTTCTTATTTCAGGTTATTTGAGCAAAATTGACTCAAGAAACAACAGTAGAATTACTACTTAGGTGCTATTTCTTTTTACTTCAAGCTGTTGAACATTATGCATCCACACTCCTAAAGCCCCGTTTTATGTGCAGAATTTGATGGTGAGCCACGATCTCTAGCTTCTGCATAGGATGTGCTCTTTCTTGTAAGCGGTGGTGCTGGTGTGAAGGTGCCTGCACAGAAGCAGGGGATATCAGAGGTCCAGTGTCCTCTCCAGTGCCCCAGTCTGCCCACCCCTCTTTGTCCCTGGAGCTTATACCTCCTTCAGTGCCACAGAACTAAGCCCTTTTCTCTCTCCTCCCACCACCAGTGCCACAGCTCAGAGGCCAGGGGATGCTTTGGTTCTGAGCCAGCTTATCCGTTCAAGTCAGCCCTAGCAGCAGTGAGCGGGTGACCAACCTTTTATGACAAATGGTAGCTCTTTTACAGCAGCTGTCTCAGGCCTGGTCCTACAGGAATTTGTAGGTTCTGCCTAGTCCTCCAGGGCTCCTGGACCTGTAGCAGGTGTGGCTGTCACAGAGCACCCGTGGGGCTATTACAGTCCCCTTTGGCCCTCCAGAGTCACAACCTCTCTCAGCCTGCACGCCGACCATTCATGTTCCGGACGTGAGTCCTCAAACCCATTAATTTCAGAATCACGTTACAGATGAAAATTGGCAGTGCCCGAACTGTCTTGACCCAGACTTTGTGAAGGGGAGAAGTAGGAAAAGAAAAATGATATGATAGCATCGAAAGGCTGACATTGGATGATGTAAGGGGTGTTGGGGAAGTGGGTCATAAAGTGCTGTGTAGACACGGGTACTATACCTGCATGAACTCTGTCTGCAATGCAGGGAAGCCTTTGCTGCGGTTGGTCTGGTCTGTGGGGCCTGCTTTCCCTTTTCTCTCTGACCCCCTGGTGTTTCCATTGCACTGGTCACACTGCAGTTCTCAACCCTCATCTTGGTCAAGGCGAGGCTCTCGGAATTGTGTTCCACCATCATAATTGTCCTGGACATCTGGGACATTTTGGGCAAAGTCAGTTTCTCCAGCCTTTTTTCTTGTGATAACATCGTTCCAGTTCCTTTCAAAGACATAAATGCTTACTAATGGTATTCTGAGTCCAGAATGCTGAGGACTCATTGTCAAATAGACTGTAATGTGAAAGAAAATTACTACTAAACAAAAGTTCCTTATCTTTGACTCGGCAAATATATACACCACCTCATGAATTTTTGGAGCACATTCCTAGAAGAGGTTGTGTGAGAATTATTTTCTTGAAATTGCCCAAAATAAAGTAAGTCTTGTTAGTACGGATCTTTCTTGAGCATGAGTGGTAGAGAGCATGAATTCCAGAACTTGCACTTTTGACCTTTGACTCCTTGTCTCTCTGCTTTGTCCGAGTTCTCTCTGTTTCTCTTGCCAATTACTGTGCCCACCCATGAGCAACTGAAAGGATCACAATGGATGAAAAGGAGTATAAACAATGCTCCTTTTAGAAAGCCTTGTCTCATTCAGTGCTATGCATAATACTTAAAAATGCAAATGTATTTTGCACAAATGTTTCCATAGGGAAACACTATGAACTTATAGTTTTATCAAAAACATGCTAATAAAAATATATACTATACTATTCAAATATTTAATAATTCTATTATTATATATTTTTTCTTTTATATATATGTTTTTATTCATTTCAGAGAGAGGAAGGGAGAGGGAGAGAGAGAGAGAGATGGAAACATCAACATTGAGAGAGACATTGATTGGCTGCCTCCTGCACGCCCCCTACTGGCGATTGAGTCCAAAACCCAGGCATGTGCCCCGACCCGGAATCCAACCGTGACCTCCTGGTTCATGGGTCAGCGCTCAACCACTGACACACCAGCCAGTCTATTACAATTTTTCTTAATATTAGCATAGAGTAATTGTGATATCCATAAAGGTAGAGCTTAAGATTCTTGTCCCTTGCCTAGGACTGTTAGTCATTAATTTCTGGTTAATGGTATGCTAATAAAAATCTCCTAATGCCCAGTAAATGCTTAGAATAAGAGGATTTTTCACACACGCCCTCAGATCATATCACCACTTAAAAGGCCAGCAGACCCTTTCATTCCTTATCATTAGATGTTTTTAGAGACTTTTAGAATCAAAGAACGGTGATAAAATTACATATCTAACTCTACCAGTGATGAATAATGTTCATTCCACTATAAAATGTTTGGATATACAATTAACCCTTGAATAACACAGGTTTGAACTATGCAGGTCTACTTACATGTAGTTTTTTCCATCTTGTAAACAGACAACATGAACTTATGGTATTTTACATGTATTTTCTCTTATGATTTTCTTAGTAACATTTTTTTCTCTAGCTTATTTTATTGTAAGGATACAGTATGTAGTATATGAAAACATATAAAATCTGTGTCAATTGACTATGTTATTGATAAGGCTTCCAGTCAGCATTAGGCTATCAGTAGCTAAGTTTTGGGAAGTCAAAAGTTACACAGGGATTTTGGACTGCATGTGGGGTTAGTGCCCCTAACCCATACATTGTTCAATGATCAATTGTAATGACTGTTTTCTTGGTTTTAGACTTGTAAGTTCTTGCCAATACTATTAAACCCTCCAGAAGTAGGAAGAATTGACAGCAGAAACTCAAGGAGTATCATAATTAAAATATATTCTTGGAAAATATCAACATAAGATAATATTCAGTATGATGTTGGCATGTGAACAGTCAGACGCAATGAATCTAATTATGCAGAGCAGTTATTTTGGACCTATCATTCATCTGAACGCTCTCTAAATCAAGATTGAATTAATTACTAGCAAAGGGAAAGGTAAGGAACTTGCCTTCCCTCAAAACAGTCAGTGATTTTTATTAACATGGAATTCATAGAATTCTCCGTGCTGCTCCAATTGTTCAGAAATCCTCATGTTTCTGTGTTGTTTTTTTAATTAAGTAGCCTGTGTACAATATATCAGTAAAGCATTTACCTATTGGCAATTTCAAAACTTTCGAATGGCTTTTCTCTCAAACATACTAGACAAGAATATTCAAATCCTGTGCTTGGGTGATCCTGAAGAAGCAGACTAATCATTGATCATCAAAGCTATTGGCTTTAAAGTGGCCCCAAGCAAGGGACTTTGACTAGCAGAACAGAGGTAAAGCTGTCCGCAAGTACCATCAAAACTAAGGAATTCCAACACCCTATTGCTGTAGGCTTGAATGGAGAGCTCAGAATTGGGGCTGTTCCAAGGCAGTTGCAGTTAAATCCCAGCGTGCCATGTGGGTCTGAGCTCTGGAGATTTAGCTGAAGGGTGTTTCCTAAAGTCAGCTGCAGCTCAGTTGGTCCTGTGTGTTCTCTACTCACCACCATTAGATAACCATTTCTCCTTGCTGCCCATGTCCTCCATTGTCCTAGGTGTTCCTTACCCCATCCGCCTCAATGGAGGGGCTTCTCCTGGCACTTCTGTTCCTGTGATTCTGACTGTTATCAATGACAAGATATCGGCTCTCAATCAACGCCTTCTTTTCCTTGTGTCAACCCAGCCTCTTAGCGCTCATAAAGCTTTATTTCCCCATGTGCAGAGGTTCTCTGGTCCACAGCATGGCTTCAAAGCCACACCTCTTCCCCTACAATGCAACGAAATGAAACATAGTGACTCACAACTACTACAAGGCGAGGCTGTGTAGCCTCGATGTATAAATTAAACCAGTTATGACAACCGTGTACCTCTTCAGAGGAAGGTATACTAAATGCAGATGCTTCGATTTGGAGGGTAAGAGTTAAGCAAAATATAACTTAAAAAACATTTTTTTAAAAATCTGCTTCTCTTAGGCACTTAGGTTGTTGTAAGTCTGAACATTTTGGTTCTTTCATTGTCCAGGGAAAAACTGCTGATGGGAACAAATTCTAGTTCACTTCTCAGAAACAGCATAAAGATGGCCTGCCATCGTGGCTTATTCATTGGCTCCTGACTTTAATAATTTGATGCAAAATTTAAGGTGCAAGGCCTGGGGGATGATAAGAGGTTTTTAGGTTTGACTGTCTGCCTGATCCCCTTAGTGAGCAAGCCAAGCAACATTCGTTAGCCTGAGAACACTGATGTTTCAGTGGCCTGTTCAGTGTGGATTTATCTCAGAATCACTGTCCTTATAGGGAGATCAGGTTTGGGAGCAAAGCTAGGCAGCTGGGTGATGCCGATAAGCTGATTAGCTTGACATTTCTGTCATTCCATGTTATTCATTTGATATTCTGCAGATTTCAACATTTTTGTCCAAAAGAAATTCAAATATGTCTTTGATAAAACAAGTTCTATTTGAATGTTAGTTGGGCCTTCATGTCTCTTATTTTCTTTCAGCTGGGTCCCGGGCCTCATACAGCAGCCAGCACGGCCACCTGGGCCCGGAGCTGAGGGCCCTGCAGTCCCCAGAGCACCACATAGACCCTATCTATGAAGACCGAGTCTATCAGAAGCCCCCTATGAGGAGTCTCAGCCAGAGCCAGGGGGACCCTCTGCCGCCAGCACACACCGGCACCTACCGCACGAGCACAGGTGTGTATTCGGGACCCACTCGGGCCTGTCCAAGGTGGGGGCGTGCTTGGTATTTTCCGTAACACTCCCTCGTGAAAGGGGGCGTGTGTGTGTGTTTGTGTGCATGCATGCGCATTCATGTGTGCGTGTGTGTCCCCTCTCCTTACAAGCGTTATGACCCGCTTCTATCATAAATGCTTGTGACGATGATGGAAACCAAACCTAAGTCCAGTTTACCTCCCCGAGTACGCTGTAAGGGAAAGAAGTGCCATGCAGGTTGTAAGCTTATTTTGTCAAATGGGCAAATAGAAGGCAGCAGGACTAATTTCTCATTCATCATTATTAATGTATTTAATGAATATAAGTACTCCAAGAAAACACAGTTATTACATGGGACATAAAAGGCATATGCCTAGTTCTGGTAAGTGGTTTTTTTTATGATATAGTCTGTCTATTTGGCAAGCTTGGGGAAACAATGTATTTACTAAAAATGTAGCATGCTTTGTAAGGAAAACTGGAATTTACTTCATACACACTATTAGACTGAATTATATGAAATTATTGTTTAAAGATTGGATATTGGCCATTGCACATGGTTCGATCAGCTATATAACACTCCCGGATTAAATATATATTTTGAATTGAACACCAGCAGAGGCTGCAAGAAGAAAGACACGTATTTTCCCAGAACGTGCAGCCATTTGCAAAATAATTGGTCAAATGTCATGACTAAATGTGCCGGAGAACACTTATCTTAACTATAAAATAGATATAATTAAGATGTTGAAAATTGCACTTATTATAAAGCCACGCATTGCTGAGTAATCTTAGGAAATATTCTGTAGCTGATTTGCCGGAGAGCAGCGCTCACTCCTTCCTTTCTAGTGACACACGTTTCCCTGAACTGGACTGCGGCGTGGGAAAGTGGGATTCTGGCCTAGAACTGGGCACACAGGGCTCTGTGTCCTCAGACTGTTGCAGCTCGCAGTTACCACGAAGTAGAGCATAGCCATTTTGTTAACTGCATTACGATACTAAATTACATGTTTTGAAATCCAGTCAAGCTAAGTTTCTGTTATGGTTGATTATGGATATTTACATTTCAGTATTTTTACTTTATCATAGGAAAAAAAGCACAAAATATACTTTATTTTATTTTTGACATCGTAAATATCATCCAGTGTTACTAATACATATCTTGGTTTAGATGAGAAAGAATACCTATTTATTCTTTGGTCAGAATCTCTCTCACCTTCAGCCTGTTAAATCTGCACCTGTCTGAGGTTGGGCTATACAGTACTTAGTTTGTTGCATATTATTAACTAAGGTAATTTTAATTTTATGCATCCCTTATAAAAGACAGAGATAACCTCAGAGATGTTCAGTATCTAGTTTGAACAAAAACTGACAACGAAAGGATTATGTTCACTCTCTGTTTTATATTCATTTGCTCTTAGACTTATTTCATTAATAAACTTCTGGAGGTTAATGAAAAATTAGCTACAATAAGGCATAATACTTTATTCATCTATGTCACATTAAAGACAGGGAAAGACATTCACACTTCTAAAAAATAAACAGAACTGTAGAGATTTTTCTAAGGCAGGGGTTGGCAAACTGTAGCTCCTGGGCCAGACCCAGCTGGCCACCTGTCTCAGTAACACTCGTGAGCTAAGCATGATTATTACATTTTTAAATGGTTTACAATCAAAAGATAAAATCTATTTTGTGATATTTAAAATGTATATGAAATCCATATTTGAGAATTCATAAATAAAGTTATTGGGATATGGCCACGCCCATTCATTTCATATCAGCTGTAGCTGCTTTCCCTCTGTAGCGGCCACGATGAGTAGTTGTGACAGAGACCAGATGGTAAAGCTGAGAATATTTATTTACTGGCCCTTTACAGAAAAAGTTTGCTGACCTCCGCTCTCAGCCATCGATGGAGAGCCATGCTGATTGAATGAACGAGTGTTATTCTTTGGTCCCTCCTGTGAGGGGAGGCAGCAGGGCAGTGTCCTCTAAGTGCTTCAAAAGAAAAACCTGTTTGCCTGGGCTTTTTCCAGTAACAGTAATCTGTGCCCTGGCAGAGATCTGCTGAGCTTGTGACATCCAGCTGTCAAAGATCCCATGCCAGCCTGCACCATGGAACTTGAGACACTTTGGAGGAAATATGCTGACTTTCTGCAACACTAGGGAAATTCCCAGAAGTGTGCGGGTGGTCTCTTGGGATGACAGGTGGGGAGAACCATCTCTCTCCATCTCCTGAGCATAAAGCCATGAGTTGTCACCCACCCCAGTTACTCCTATTTCTACACTTAATTCACTTCATTTAAAATCCTACACTTTCCTAGCTAACCCTGCAACTCCAGGAGCTATCAGAACCCACATATTTGAGAAAATGCCTGTAAGAGGGTATATATCTTTTACTCATAAATTATGTACATATGATATAATATTATCAGATTATATCTAGTAAAAGCCAAGATTAAAAATTGATATAAAGAAACATTATAGGATTGCTTTCCCATATCCAGGAGGACATTTTTCACATCCCCTGTGTTGTGTTGCACACAACCCCACACTAGAGTCACTGGTACAGACATTTAAGAGGCTCCAGGGCCAGAGCAAGTGTCCTAAATCTTTGGGAAAAGAGCACATGTTCTTATGGGGCCTTTCAGAGTTGAAGTGTTCAGGAGCCACTGGCTTTTGGCTCAGCTTGGTGGCCAAGTGACTTGAGCAACCAGTCTTATTTCTTTGCCCTTAAGTAGCAGGCCACTGGCTGGAGTTCCTCCAGTTTAATTCCTGAAGCATTTCCAGATGATATCAGGGAGAGCGGGGCTAGGGAATCGAAGGCCAGTCACCCCTCTTCAAGAGGTCAGCCCTTGGGAATGAAGACAGGTACCTGCTTAAACAATTAGGGAATCACTAGATGGTACCATAGCATCAAGCAGGTGAGACCGAATGGCAAAGTATATAGCACGCCACTACCTTCAGGACTGTTCAAAATGCTTTGAATATATTTACAAATCCCCAAACCACCCACTTTACAGATCGGAATACTGAGGCACAGAGACGTTGAGTAAGCTGCCCAAGGTCACACTGGTTGTATAGAGCCAGTCTTCAAAGTTCACACCCAGGCAGTCTTGTCTTAGAACCTGGGCTCTTAAGAGTCACCTTGGTTGACTGACCCTACACTTGTAAAAATCATCATTTAAAACCGAAATAAATATGGATTAATTCTCCTCTATAGAGTTTCGGGATTTTCTATATGCTGTTATTCAAATAGTATCTGTTAAAGACATGCCATGTGCTAGATACACTGGGAGGTTCAAGGACGCATCACTCTTGGCTCTGTGGCCACTCTCCTCTCCCTGCCCTGGGCTAACCCCATCCCTGGGCCTCCTTTGCCCCAAACACCACAAGGGCTTTCCTGAGTAATAGACAATTCTAGAGTGAGAGATACACAAGGAGATGACTGCACAGGAAAGACCAGGAAACAATTATAAATCTTAAAGATGAAATGTGAAAGCTCCCTAAACTTCCCACCAAAGGGGATTTCTCAGTGTTGCTTCTTAGGCTCAAACAGCCAGCATCTTTTTCCACCCATCCTCTCTGTCTTTCTCCCCCGTCTCTCCTTTTCTGCTGCCATCCTAAGCCACTCACCCCTGTGACATTATAAAGGCTGATACAAACCTCCGACTCTAACTCAGATTAGGAGCACAGTCTTACTTTGGGTATTCAGAAGATGTTCTCTAGGCTTCCCTAAATTAAATCTCCCTAACCATACTGATGGAGACCTTACATATGTGCATTTATATACATTTAAGTAATGTAAGAGGATCAGGATGCACAAATCCTGCTTCTCACCTCTCTTTCATTCCAGGCTTATGGATGGTGAAACATACAAATAAGTTAATAGAATTTAAGTCAGCTGAACAGGCCACGGCTATGCCAGAGAACGTGGTCTAAAGAGGGTCTTCTGCACCCCACCCCAGACCTAATTCAAACACTTCAGGCTCAGGCATCCCAGCCACTACAGGACAAAAACCGCAGACCTCTTCTCCACCCAGGCCCAGCAAAGGGAGACAGCCTCCCTGGGCCCAGATGTGCTCTTAGTGAAGAGGCAGAGAGAAGGCCGAGCAGCTGCCCCCGTGCCCCAGGGTAGAAGCCAGCATCGCAGCCCCAGAGATCAGAGGTCTGGCAGCCTAAGAGAAGGTAAAATCCACTTGATTCAGGTAAAACCACTGAATCTGCAGTGGTCCGTGGTCAAGAGGGCTCCCCGAACAGTGCCATTTCACCAGACATGACAGCCACTCCTTTCTTGGGGAGCCAGTAAATGAGGGGAGAGGGGCAGAGACGGAGGCTGCCATCCGCGCTCTCTGGGCAGGGAGGCAGAACTGTGCGGACGGCCGCAGGGAAAGCAGGCCCGCGAGTAGGACTGTGGTGTGAAGTTGCCCACCTGCTTTTGTAGGACAACCAGCTAACATCTCACATGATGAAGATTTAAAGAGGCACACTCTTCCCTGGGGTGTCTGTTTAAATAAAACATACATTTCATCTGGGATAGGCTTCTCAAAACCAGAGTTTATATCATGAGTACAGCCAGACCAGGAATGTGTGAGCCTCACGGATTTGCTTATGGTGAAGTCTATTAAAGCAGAAACTAAATAATACAAATTTTTATTTCAAACTCAAGACACATCGATGACTGTCAACTTAGGAGCCCTTTGATTAACATAAACGCTTGACTCTAACAACCCCCCAAACACATCTTTCTCAACTAGTGAGAATGGCCAGTGTCGGCTGCACTGACAGACACGTGCATTTCCTGTTAGATAAATGTGATTCTAAGTGAGTGGAGAAAACGAGCTTTCTGTGATAAAAATGTCAGCTTGTAATAAAGAATGAACTATCATAGACACATTGCAAGGAGAAAACATGCTGAATATCTTTCCGAGGTTGACAAGTATTGCAGAATGAAAAGAAAAAATGTGGTGAAAATATTTGCACGTGCA